ATTTTTTTATTTTGCGTTACATTTTATTAGTGCAGTCTTTATTTATTTTAGTATTATTGCAGTGTTCATTTTTTATTTTGCATTATCTTTTATTGTTTGCAGCAAGTTTGTTTTTATTTTGCATTACATTTTATTAGTGCAATCTCTTTTAATTTTTTTTATATTGCAGTGTTTATTTTTTGTTTTGCACTTTTTAATTATTGCAATGTTTTTAATGTTTCCAGCAAGTTCTTTTTTTTTTTTTTTTTGCATTACTTTGAATTATTGCAGTGTTTTTTTTTATTTTGCACTATTTTTTATCATTGCAAAGTTTAGTTTTTATTTTCAGTGTTTGCAGCAATTTTTTATTTTGCAATATTTTTTATTATTTCAGTGTTTGCAACAAGTTTTTTTTTTTTTTTTTTGCATTACATTTTATTAGTGCAATCTCTTTTTATTTTTTTATATTGCAGTGTTTATTTTTTGTTTTGCACTTTTTAATTATTGCAATGTTTTCATTGTTTTCAGCGAGTTCTTTTTGATTTTTTTATTTTTTTTTATTTTGCATTACTTTGTAATATTGCCGTGTTTTGAAGGTTTCATTCAGATTTGCAGACTATCACTGAGCCGCTGGTTTCTGTCTGTCTCCTGCTCAGTCTGCGTCCAGACGGGTTGGTTTGTCCTGCACTAACTGTCAGACGACCACAACCACTCTCTGGAGACGTAATGCAGAAGCAGAGCCGGTCTGCAACGCCTGCGGACTCTACATGAAACTCCACGGGGTGAGACAGACTTCAGAAGATACGTGAATATACTCGGTTTGCTCTGTTATTAGTTGACTTCACCCTTTGGCAATGCAAATGTACAGTTGTTGTGCCAAAAACTCAGTAGTAACGCTGTGTAACCAGCAGACGGAGTCAGAGAATCTCAGAGTTTCTGCTCTTGTGCTCAGGTTCCTCGTCCTCTCGCCATGAAGAAAGAGGGAATTCAGACCCGCAAACGCAAACCAAAAAACATCAGCAAGTCCAAACCTGGTGAGTGCAGAGAGCTCAGCAGAAAACTCTTCTCATTAGGGTCTCAAGTCAGAATCATGAGCGTGGAATCAGTGATTGTGACCTTTGACCTGTGTGTGATTCGAAGGGTCATCTGAGGGTCAGACGGTGTCCAGTGCTATGAACTCCAGTCCCACAGAAGAACCGCGGCCCATAAAGACGGAGCCGGACACGGCGTCACTCTACACACACCACAACACATCGATGAACACACCGGTCAGAGAACAAAACACACACACACTGTGACCGCACTGCTGCTTTACAGTTTTTTACGATTGCTTAAGCACAATTTTGAAAACAGGAAATCACTGTGTGTAATGTTTTGCAAACAGTGTGAAGCTGACAATGTGCTTACAGTTGTGCAAATCTAGCCTTGTGTTTTGCTCCTTGAGTGTAAGGTTTTGCTAATTGTTGGAAAAGTTTAATTTTAGTGTGTAAGCAATCGTAAAAAACTGTATTAGCATTGTGCAATGAGTGTCATTTATATTGTATTATGAATATTCATTTTTAAGTATTATAATTATTATAATTACTATTATTGCTTATTTTGTTTAAACAAAATTAATATTATATATTAATATTATATATTATTTGTATTTATAAATATTATAGCTAAATATTATAAATGACCCTTTAAATTTTAATTATATTAAATAGTTTGTGTGTGTGTGTGCATGCGTGTGTGTGTGTGTGTGTGTGTGTGTGTGTGTGTGTGTGTGTGTGAGTGTGTGAGAGAGTGTATATTGTGCAGTTTATGAGTTCACATTAATTTAAAGAGTGCATGAAAAAATTAGTATTTCTAGATATTATAAATAGTAATTTAAATTTAATATGTAATTTAATTAGATTTATTTAATACAATCCATAATGTTTTATAATATTTATGATTATTATATTAGAAATAACAATTGTAACAATACATATAATACACATACATTATAATAATATATAATATAAATATATAATTACAGTGTATGTATTTAAATTAAAATTCATATATAATAGGATAACTGAGACTTGCATGCATGTGTTTGTATTTATATATACATAATAAATATACACACAATAACACACACACTATGTGAACAAAAACTTTTATTTTGAATGCGATTAATCGCGATTATATATATATATAAACTAAAAGTCCATTATTCATTTATTACAATTATTCATTTATTAAATGCTTTTGTCTAAAGTAATTCTTATGAACAAATCTCCAACACAAGTAACACAAAATCTTTCCTTTGTCCATCCAGGTCTCTGTGTTTCTGTCGTATATGGGAACTCCGAGCTCAAGTTCTGCTCTCAGACTTTCTCCAAGTGGATCTTCCAGCTCCAAAAGCGAAGTGTGGAACAGCCTGATTCTAGCATAAGAAACCGAGATCCTCCCGTGAAAGCATCTCTCCCTGCAGAGCTCCGAGCAGAAGAACTGGTCTATCGGGTGCCAGAACCAGCGAGCTTCAGTGATGAAATGAAGACGCAGAAATGTCTCTGATGTGTAGACAATCATGGAAAGATACTATACGTTCAGCGAGACCTTCACATCAACAGATCAGTAGAAAACCCTGGACCTGATTATAAACGTGCTGTGAATCGCAGGAACCAAGACCCTTCAGTCCCAGAAGATCACGAGAACGTTATATAACCTGAACGCTCCAGATCACGGCTTGATGGACTCATAGCATGTGCTTTACTCATCTTTAAGACATTGGTTTCATTCATTTTAAACCATTTGAGTGGCATTCAGTTGCTATAAGTAAACGTGTTAGAGCAATAGTTCACCCAAAAATGAAAATTTGCTCCATCCGAGATGTGAATGAGTTTGTTTCTTCATCAGATCTGGAGAAATAAAACGTCTTAATGCTGGATTTGTTTCAGCTTTTGTCTTCTCCAGATGTTAACTGATGGACTGGAGTGCTGTGGATTACTTGTGGATTATTGTGATGTTTTTATCAGCTGTTTGGACTCTCATTCTGACGGCACCCATTCACTGCAGAGCATCCATTGTTGAGACACTGATGCAATGCTGCATTTCTACAAACCTGATGAAGAAACAAACTCATCCTAATCTTAGATGGCCTGAGGGTGAGCACATTAACAACACATTTAAATTTTTGGGTGAACTATTGCTTTAAAAAAAAAAAGAGCCATAGTGGCACAACACTTTTCTCAAGAAAATGTAGTAATTGTTGCATTTTGTTGCAACGTTTTTCTCTCCCATAGCACTCCTGCTGTATTTTAATGGATAATTCTCTTTTTTCCTTCACACTATATATCTGCAGGGAAACATTTATTTTATTTTTTATTGTCATGATGAGCATTATTAATCATGTCTACGAGCAGATAAGAACTTGCAACATGTTATTCCTGCTCACATTTGACCTGTCCTTTGTTTGCAAACAAAATTCAGATTTGTTGCAATTTAGGTTTTTATTTTTGATGGCATCTAATGTCAAGACTATTGAGTCGACCTGAAATCTTTGCGTTAGCAGCCAGACCCACCTGCATTAGTTCACCAACTTCCTGTCTAGAAAGCCACTTCCTTGAAACTTAAAAAAAAAATAACCCTCACCACAAATTTTACTTCCTTTTCAAATCTAAGAAAATCCCCTTTACTGCAGGTGAGAAACTTTAAATGTATCTAATTTTTAAATACATTCTTATATTTATTTCTATATAGAAATCAGGGTTACAGTTTGCCTAAAGTCAATCTGAACTTGTGCATCTGATCTCTCGTTATAGATTAAACATTGTTTACGTTTCTCATTAGACTGTAAAGAAAATAGAAAGTCCACATGTAATTCTTTTCTTGTAGCAGCATTCTATAATATTAAATACGAAACAACTCACTCCATGTTTAACTGTTGTTGTGCCACACAACATCTATGTGAAAATTAGATTAAACTGTTTGTAATTTCAGATTCAACTTTATTCTTTCACAGAGAACAAGGTTTTCCATGTCTTTAAATGCCCAGTAAATCTGTTTAGTAATAAACTCAAATAACAATTTAACAATTAAAAACAACTGCCCTAATAATTTTTATTTGTCAAAGACTAAAGGCCCGTTCACACTAGGAGCTATAACTATAACGATAACTATTAGCGAACAATGACGTTCTGTTTATTTTAAACGCGCCCTGCAGTTTTGTCGTCTGTCGCTTTAAATATTGGAACGCTTTCAGGATGGATTCTGATTGGCTGTCAATATTTTAGCATTAATCGTTTGGGGGAAAATCGCCATGAAAGTGATTCCAACGATATCGTTCCTCTATGTTGTTATCGTTATAGCTGTAGTGTACTATTCTTTTAAATTTAGTACGATTATATCGTTATCGTTATAATTATCATGAACGATAATCGTTAGTTATTGGTATAAACGGGCCTTAATAAACATAGGAGAAAAACGGTTTCAGAAATATATCTGTTAGAGCACATGTAAAGTAATTATTATTATATATAGGCTAACAATGTGTTATTGAATCCCATTATATGTTTATTGTAGGCTATTGAAATGTAATAAGAACACATGCAATTCGCAATATGTGACCCTGGACCACAAAACCAGTCATAAGGGTAATTTTTTTGAAATAGCTGAATAAATAAGCTCTCCGTTTATATATGTAGGATAGGACAATATTTGGCTGAGATACAACTATTTGAAAATCTGAAACCTGAGGGTGCAAAAAAATCTAAATATTGAGAAAATCATCTTTAAAGTTGTTCAAATGAAGTTCTTAGCGATGCATATTACTAATCAAAAATTAAGTTTTTATATATTTACGGTAGGAAATTTACAAAATATCTTCATGGAACATGATCTTTACTTAATATCCTAATGATTTTTGGCATAAAAGAAAAATGTATAATTTTGACCCATACAATGTATTGTTGGCTATTGCTACAAATATACCCCAGCGACTTAAGACTGCTTTTGTGCTCCAGGGTCACATATGTAATGCACAAAAATAATGTTCAATTACAGTGGTTTTATATTATATAAAACCATATTAGTCTTATAAGTAATACAGTTAATTGTTTTAATGCTTCAGCTCTAATTCGCAGCTGAGGTGACTCTATTTACACCATCCCGGTGTTCGTAACACCCCTCAACGTCATCACCAGCCTGACCAATCAGCGCCTCGCATGAGCTCTGCGTCCATCTTACTGGCTACAGGGCGGGCCATCACGCCAGTCGCTCTCGCTTCTCATTGGTCGATGCGCTGTAAACCCATGACGCCTCAGCCAATCAGAGGAGTCAGTCGATCGTGTGAGTGCGGGATTGTCGCTGCGCAGGTTATCTGATTCTGTCCTGGATCTCTATAGAGTTTGAATGGAAATAGCAGCGCGTGAATTTCAGCTCACCTGATAGCGTCCTCATAAACACACGGGCGAAAATGGACATCCTCAAGTCTCTAGGACACCCGGAAGAAATAATCAACCTCTTTAAATACAAAATAGGAGGCTGTCGTTCTGTTATGCCTAAATTGGATTATGTAAGTAAATGCATTTTGAGTGTTCATTTCTAATATTCATTCCCTGTGCATGCATGTGCATGCACAATACATGTTTTGCATTTATCTGTCATTATGCATGTCAGATTTTATTAATAAACACTAAAACACTTATTTTAAGAAGATTAAACAGAGATTAAATACAGTTGCATCAGCTGCAGTTCTAAAGATGTCACATTATTTATGCTTTTCCAGCAAGCAGTGCATAAACGGTGTCAGCATCAAATGGATTTGATTTAATCCTGGTTTGGAGAGGAAGGTTAGTTTTAACAGACAGGAGACCCGAGGATTCGTCTTATATAATGAGCTTTGACGACTGGAGGGTCAGACAGGGGTGATGATGCTCTGCGCATGTTTGACAGCTAATCCACATCCACACCGATAAACACACTGACACACAGAACGATAGATAGATAGATAGATATCCATCTGAAAGGGAAAGTCCTCAGAACTTTGACTAACGTTCTGACAAGGTTCTCTCAAAGTTATGAACAAACGTTCTTCCGGTAACATTAATAGAACGTTCACTCAGTTATCAGGGGCAAGTTCAAGCTCAAACCAGTGTGCACCGTTTTGCTACGGTTTCCGGTTTGAACGACATGTTTCCTGGAAACGGTGTGCAACGGGGTTTGAGATACGTTTTCTTTTGTCGTGTCCAGTGTACTAGACAGACTTTAGCTGTTGCGGCACAGACACGGTGTTTTACTCACCTATCGAGAAGAAACAAAGCAACCTCGGCGTCCGATCGCAGGCCTTCCGCTCCTTGAGTTCTCTCCAGCGCTGGAAAGCTGATCCGATATTTACACGGGTCCTACTTCTTGCCTTATTGCCTTAAGCCTTCTTTTGTTCCGCAGACGTTTTCCTCTTTTGTTTTTTATCCGCCATCTCTATCTTTCTTTCTGTCGCTCGGCTCGGACTGAAAGCTCTCTCCTCCACATCATGAGTAGACACGACCCTTACTGCTGATTGGCTACAAGTTTGTTTTGCTATTCGGCCCGAATCAGTTTTCTAAAGCGTTTTTGAAAAATCACTTACCCTGCCTTTAATGTTCTCAAAACGTTACACAAAAACCTTATTTATACATCGTTCAATGAACGATTTGCAACTTGTTTGAGAATGTTCTGAGGAGATTAAAACGGAACGCTGTTTGCAAAATGATAAAATGGAATGTTACTTTAACGTTCGCAAAACCAAGGAAAACCTTTTTAAAAATAAAAAAACTGGGCATTCAGAGAACATTCAGAATTAACGTTTTCAAAATGTAATGGGAACTCAAAACGTTCTTAGAACATAATTTTGTTAGATAGATAGATAGATAGATAGTGTTATTTTATAACTGTTATTGTAAACTGTAATTCTTAATGACACATATATGCTTTTAAATCTACATTTGTATATTTTAAAACTGTATTGCGTCAAGAATTAGCCTGTTTTTAGTGTTGTTTGGGTTGCTTGGTTAATCTTTTTTATTAATAATATAAGAGATTTGCATAGTGTATGCAATGGTTTAAATGGTTTATATATCTACTTGTATATTAGTTTGTATGAATACAATTCGACGACGATCCAGTATGTGCGTACTCATTTTAATATATTTACCTATGTACTAGCCAAAGGTTTGGACACACGTGACTGAATTAAATGCTTGAAATGAAATTTGTAGATAAATATGAGAACATTCCATGTATGAATTTCATTAAAAATCTACTTAAAATTTTTTTTTTTTTATGTAGGTTATTTTTTAACTTGCATAAGTTGTAGCGGGGATACTGAAGAAAAACAGCAACACGTGTCAAGCGTACATCTGGATAATCTAGAAGCTCAAATGTGACCCTTGATCACAAAACCATAGCACAGGTATATTTGTAGCAATAGCCAACAATACATTGTACACTCTAAAAAATGCTGGGTTAAATACAACCCAGTGCTGGGTAAAATAGGGACAAACCCAGCAATTGGGTTGT